CTGCTAGCGGTGGTGGCGGCGGCAAGAGGCGCATAGACAGCAGGTCTATCGAAACATATATCCCTCACATTCCTCTCCATCCTACCGCGTTCAAAAGTCCAGCCTGCATCGCCATCTGCCCATTCCTGAATGACCTATTTTGTGCCGTCAAAGTGAAAGGGCAAGGGGGGGAAGGCGCACCCATCAGAATCAGAATCCATACTAGAGGGTGAGGGGGGGCAACGTGGACCGGAGCGAATCACTGGACGCGTTTGGGCAGCCCTGTGCTGTGCTGGAGTAGCATGATGCTAGTCATGCCATGCCATGCAAGACCTTGCAAACGCCCATCAACGCACCTCGGGAGCTGGTCGACCTGTCATGACTTTCCTGTGCTCTGTAACGTGTCCCCTCCCTTTGGCTGTGTTGCACCTGGATGAGAGAGCAAGAGCAAGAGCAAGAGCAAGAGCAAGCCGCAATGGAATTCGAGCAGATTGACGTGATTGCCTCTTGGCTTCACTCCTCTTTTGATGCCCCTGTGCAGTGAGACAGATGCTCAAAGGGCGGCCCCTTGGCTGCCTTTTTCGCTTGTGAAGTGGGACGCTTTCAAAAGGGGCTTAGGAAGAAGTCGTGCGTTTGATTTGAAGGAGGGGATGTTCGAAAGCCCATTCGTGGGGCCACACTCAGAACTCGTGACTTCCCCCCTCTGATTCGCTTGTTTTCTTTTTGCCCACCCTTTGCCCTTGCGATTGCGATTGCTGCTGCTGCTGCTTGATGCGGTAAGTTGGTGGAGCCGACTCGGATCGATTCGATTCGAAACTCGAAACTCGCGACTCGTGACTCGTGACTCTTGACTGGATCGGGATCCAACTGGCGCGCGCGCGATGAGGTCGAAGGATGAAACAAACGTTCGTAGCAGCAGCTTACACGCTTCAAATCCAGAAGCACGAGCCAAGAAGTCGAATTGACGATTTGATTTGATTTGATTTGATTTGATTCGGATTCCTCCATCCCATGCATCCTAATCATCATGGAATCAAGAATTGAATGCAATCAAGAATCCAAATCAAAAATCAATCAAATGAAATGCGCGGCCGCGCGTTGAATTCAGGAACGCGCGCCCGCCGCCCGCCGCCCGCCGCCCG